GCCTGGGTTAACCTCGGCCACAATGACTTTTCCCAAGCTACTGACTGCATGATTCTGTGCAGCTAGGTGACCTTAATTCAGTAATGTGCATGTTCACATCTCACTCTGTACAGGAGTGGAATACCAGAGAACAACCCCAGCTTAAGCTAGTAGACATGTCTGGAGGGTCCTCTACCTTATCAGCATATGTATTTGAGATATTTATAAATCGCTTTTCAAGCAAAACTCACAAATATCACACGAAGAAATATTAAAATATTAGGATGCTAGAGCATAAACTAAAAACAAAACGTAAGATTACAAAGCGGCAGTGACACAGGCACCCTCTAGGCAAGCTTGCCTACAAGGACACCTCAGAGTGAGGCCAGGAGAGCCTGCTGCTCTAACATCCCTTTGTTGGAAGCAAGAGGGAAGGTACAGAAGCTGGGAGAAGAGATGAGGGTGGCAGCAGCAGAGGGTGGTGGCGGCGGCAGGGAAGTGTGACACAGCCTGCTGTCAGAGGTGGCGTAATGTCTTGCACCAGCCCTGGCTATAAGGGGGAAACATGTTTTCAAAATTATCTATCTTCTCCCCCTAGGGCAATGAGCACTCAAGGTAGCCCTGTGATGCTGACTCAGAGGCAATTGATACTGATATGAATACAGTGGTACCTCGGGTTACATACGCTTCAGGTTACATATGCTTCAGGCTACAGACTCCGCTAACCCAGAAATAGTGCTTCAGGTTAAGAACTTTGCTTCAGGATGAGAACAGAAATCGTGCTTTGGCGGCGCGGCAGCAGCAGGAGGCCCCATTAGCTAAAGTGCTGCTTCAGGTTAAGAAGAGTTTCAGTTTAAGAACGGACCTCCAAAACGAATTAAGTACTCAACCCGAGGTACCACTGTACCAATTACAGGGGGCAGCTGTTGCCTTTAGGCTCTGATGTTTGTGGGCTTCCCAAAGGTACTTAGCTGACCACTGTGGGGAAAAGAATACCAAATGGTCCTCTGGCCTTATCCAGAGCTTGAAATGTTCATTCTAAAAAGGAACTAGTTCTAGTTCTCCAAAGAAGAACTAACTCCAATTCATGTTTTTCCCTTTACAGTACTTAAAAACAATCCTGTTCCATTCATAGTTCAACTCATTCATTCAAATGATCCTTGGCAAAAAGAGGGGAATAAGAGCTTTCCGAGTGTTACAAGCTGCTGAAGTATAACATATACTTCAGAAGTGGAATGTAAATTACCATATTTTCCCATTTTTTTTATTTATTTTTTTGGCTTTTCAAATAGCACAGAAAAAGTTATTTAATTGACCTCATTCACTTGTACATTCATATTGTATCAGGTAAAGGGATGATGTAGCATCTTAAGAATTATTTTTTTCAATTAACAAAGTGTTGCATTTCTGATGCAAAAAAAAAAAAAAGAGACAATAAAAAGTTAAATAAAACAAAACAATACCTTACAATACATCAGAAATAAAAAGAAAAACAACATATTTTCCCATCTATAGGATGCCCCCATGTATAAGATGCCCCCTATTTTTGGGACTCAGATTTAAGAAAATGAGGGGAGATGTATGGGTGTATAAGATACCCCCTAATTTTTGACTTTAAGGGGAAAAACCTAGTCTTATACATGGAAAAATACGGTATTTATTTCCCCCAACAATTATTATTTTTGAAGCTTAAAGGCCTGAAGAGTCTAAAGAGTAAAAAAAGGGAAGTGAATGAACTTGAGGATGAGCTAGAAATTGTTCAAAGTTCTATCCAAAATTGAACTTAATTCACTCAGCAATTATGAAAACTACTTTCAGATGCAGTTCAGAGGTTTTTGAACTAAAGCAGTGAACTTTGTTAAACCAAACTATTTAATTCCAAGAATTAGTCTTACCTACCCTGTGGGGCTCATTATATTTTTATTTCTGTACTGCAACATTTGAAGGCTGAAATGGGACATGAAACCCAACTTAAGCCTATGGTGATGACATCACCAGAGCTGTAAGGATCATGGCCATGACCTTTTGCAGCCCAGGAGCAAAGTGCTAGGTCTGAAACTGCTCATCTAATGACAAATGTTTTTAAGGCGCACAGGAAGACGTCACTAACTCCACACCCTAGAGCAGTTAGCCAGGATGGAGCCAGGCCCTTCATATAAGCACACAGGACAAGCAAAACCATTTTTACAATTGGAACAGATTTCAAATCAAAAGAGAATTGGTAGGAAAAGAAAAAAGTTGCCAATGAGCATAAACAAAAGAAGTATACCCTCCAACATTCCTCTGATGAAAATAGGGACATCCTATTCATACCCTCCAACATTTCTCTGATGAAAATAGGAGTATGCAGTGCTATTTTTTCTAGAAAAAGAGGTGCCGGAACTCACCATTAACGCCTCCCTTGTTCTCTTAGAACAGGCATAGGCAAACTCGGCCCTCCAGATGTTTTGGGACAACTCCCATTATCCCTAGCTAAGTGGTCAGGGATGATGGGAATTGTAGTCTCAAAACATCTGGAGGGCCGAGTTTGCCTATGCCTGTCTTAGAATGACAATGGTGCCTACCTGAGAGGTGCTGGAACTGAGTTTTGGCTGAAAAATGGCTTTGGGGATGTCCTATTCCATACCCTCCAACATTTTTCCAATGAAAATTGGGACGTCCTAGGGAAAAGTCGAACATTCTGGGATTAAATGAGAAACCAGGACGGCTTCTATAAATCTGGGACTGCTCCTGGAAAATAGGGACACTTGGAGAGTCTGAAGTTTGATATAAAATAACTTATTATTGTCAGTTGTTTTTAATACTCTAACCAACCCTTGGACCTTACAGTGAAGGGTAGGTAATTAATAATAATAATAATAATAATAATAATAATAATAATTACAACAAATACAAAACCTGGACTGGGGATGTGTGGTGGCTAGAGTGGGACACAACTTCAGAATGATGGAGGAAACAGCTAGAGAACCATCCCCACCCAGAGAAAATATCAATGCATTCAGTATTTGTAGGACGTAATCCAAGATGGCTTGGAATCTCCCACAGGAATGCTGTTGCTGTTTTGTTAGCTCCCTGAGAACAAACAGGTTTTGTATACCGATAACAGCATAAAGTCATGATCTGCCCTTTAGCTTTTATGAGATGGTTGCTTTTAATAGGCTTTTATTTTTAATGGTATTATCACTGATTAGTTTGCCACTCTTGGCTCCTTTGGCGTGAGATATACGTGTAATAAATACATAAATTACAGTCAACTACTCGTATTGCACCAGAGGGCTTCATATTTTGCAAGTGACTGTGGAGCAGACAGTGCCAGCTGGCCCTAATCCTGCATCTTGCCAGAGGAAGGCAAATACCCCTTCCCATAATTCAGTGCCGCTTCTCATCCTTTCAAGTTTTGATCTACAAGTTACAGCACTGTAATGAGACACCCAACCTGCCCCCCACCTCTGAAACTGTGGCAGGACTATCACAAATGTTTCTATTTTAGGGTTGTTTGCTTTTGTTGTCAAGAATTCTGCCACTTTATCCTGGTGGTGGGTAAAGCTTAAAGTAGCTTGTAAACAAAAAAATACAGGAGACCCAAATGCAAAGTACCTGTAATTTCAAAAAACAAAACAAAAAACCAACCCTACCTTTAAAAAAAATAATCACAGAAGACAGTGCCTTTCCTCTTTCATGGTTAGCATGGCGATTAATCAAAGGCATCTCTTTGACACAACTTGGGTCTTCCTTTTAATGTCAGGGTATTTTAATGCCATCCTCATCGCAAAGGTGTCTGTGGAGGGGAAATATTGATTGAAAATGTCTAGTAAACTAGATGGGTAAATGGGTTCTTCTGAGAGTATTTGGTGAGCTAACATGACAGTGTTGTGGGACTGAAGATCGTTTGAGTGATCATTCTGTGATATTATGGCAACGGACAACGCTGTACTGTAAATTTTGAATAAATGTGAATATATTTTTTTAAAAAAAATGAACATGGTGTAGGAGCCAGTGGTGGTGTAGTGGTTAGAGTACTGGACTAGGACCTGGGAGGAGAAATGGGTTAACAACATCCCCATTTGGCCATGAAACTCACTGGGTGAGCTAGGACCAGCCAGTCTTAAATCTGATATAATAATAATAATAATAATAATAATAATAATAAACACCCTGAACATCTCCAGCGTGCTTCCTCTGTACAGCTGCATTTCCCCACCTTTTAAAAGTGCACCTTATACAAATTAGGGAGAAACGAAAAACACCTGACCTCCCAACCCCCCAGCTTTGGCTACAGATCCTTTTGGCGGCTAGCGGACAAATTCTGGCGACTAGCGGCCCTTAACTCTCCTCCTCCTCGGCTCTCTGCCCTGATTCAGACACACGTCTGAAGGAAGAAGCCCCTCAGATTCCTCCTTCCATGTCCCACACGCCAGTGGCGGGAAGCCGAGGGGAGGCAGCGCGACAGGCCCGGCGACACGGAGCCCGGCTCCCCATAGGCCGCGCTCGCTTGGCGCCCGCCCGCCTCCATTATGTGCTAATTTAGCCCCGCGCTGAGCGAGGCTCGGCTTCCCCGAGCTTTTCCTCAGCCCGGAATAGCTCGGCAGCCCCCCCCCCCCAGCGGCGGCGACAGCGCCACCCCCGCCTCCCCAACCGCTTCCCTCAACCGCCTTCGTGCTTGCGCTCTCAGCCCAACTTGTCCCCTAGCGAGTCCCGCCTCCCTCCTTCCCTGCCGCGCGCCTCAGGAGGCTGGCGGGCGGCGCAGGGGCCACCCCTCCACTCGGCCTCGAGGCGGGACGCAGCAGCAGGGTAGGCTGCGCCGGGTTCTGTGTTCGTTCGCTCGAGCAGGGAGGGCGGGGAGGAGGAGGGAGGAGGCTGGCTCGTTGCAGTTGGGAGCGCCTGTCATGGAGGAGCTGCGCCGCGAGCGGGGCGCGGCGGCAGCGGCGGCACCGACGGCTGGGCTGTGAGGAGCGGCGCGGCGGTTGCTTTGAGGAGACGGAGCCGGGCCTGCCTTTCGGCGGGAAGGTAGCTGGCTGTAGAGACCAGAGGGGGAAAGGGAGAGAGAGAGAGACAGGCTCCTTCCTCGTCCTCCTCCCTTCGCCTCCGCCCCGGCCTGGCTCTCAGGCGTTGCCGAGGCTCCTCCTGCCTTGCCGGTCGCAGCGAAGGGCGAGCGGGGCGGTTGGAGTTTCGGCGGCCGGGCAGGCAGCGCTGCGGTTCGGGGCGGGCGAAGGGAACGCGAGGGCCGAGCAGGCGGAGGCGACGCAGGTGAGGAGCGGCTGCCCGGCAGCGGAGCTTTCTAGGCGACGTCGTCCGCCCGGCCGCCCGCCTGCCTGTTTCCTTTTGGCCGCGGGAGGCTCCCCAGGGGAGAAGTCAGGACAAAGGGGGCGGAGAAGCGAAGGGCGTCCTGGGTGGCTCCGTGCCCGGAGCACAGCCCCTGCGGGTGGGCTGGGGGTCGTGAGCAGGGCGAAGCGCCTCGGGTGTGGGGGTCGTGACCGTGGGGGTACGATGGGGCCATCTATGCCGTCAAACCGTGTAAGGCAGGCGGGGAAATTCCTGAGGGCGCCCTCCCAGCTGAGGGCGCACTTGAAAGCTTTCCTTTTGTGAGTCTTGTGATATTTCGGGCATAGGTTCGGATCCCAGCCTTAAAAAGTTCTTCGCTTTTGCTTCTTTTTTTTGTGTGTAGCCACCAGGTGGTGACAATCCCGTGTCAGCTAGGTTGTCTGAACCCAGATGGGCTCAGCAGACAAAATAGATGGTTAACCGGTATGAGAAGTGGCAAGAATAATTTGCATCGGGGATCCTATCTCCCTCATAGTCATCTCAAAAGCTAGCATTTGTTGCCTGTAAATGTTCAGATCCAGGTGCCTTTATCTTCTGGGGACAAGTGGGAGGGCCAGTATAACCAAGGGTAATGATTGTATTTTGAGTGTCTTCACTTAGCTGTCAAACTTTGTCTTGTTTTCTAGGTTGCTGAGCATAGTATTTGCTTTAAGAGGTCTCCTGTGAAAGCTTCATGCAGTACACAGAGGCAGCACATCCTTGGAGGAGAGTGTGCAGGGAGCAGCTTCAACTCTGTGGTTCCAGTTATCCCATTATCTGTGATTCTGAAGAACAAGTCAGAGAGAGAGGAAGAGACTAAATGGATCTTAAGACAGCAGTATTCAATGCAGCTCGGGATGGCAAGCTGCGGCTTCTCACCAAGTTACTGGCGAATAAAACTAAAGAAGAAGTGGCCTTGCTGGTGTCAGAAAAAACAAATGGTGCCACGCCCCTTTTGATGGCAGCCCGCTATGGCCATCTTGACATGGTGGAACATCTACTGGAACAGTGCAGTGCTTCTATAGAAGTTGGTGGCTCTGTGAATTTTGATGGTGAGACTATTGAAGGTGCACCACCATTATGGGCAGCATCAGCAGCTGGCCATTTGAAGGTGGTCCAGTCTTTATTAAATCATGGAGCATCTGTCAACAATACCACTTTGACAAACTCAACACCTCTTAGAGCTGCCTGTTTTGATGGTCATCTAGAAATTGTAAAGTATCTTGTGGAACACAAAGCTGACTTGGAAGTATCAAACCGCCACGGGCATACATGCCTTATGATATCGTGTTATAAAGGGCACAAAGAAATCGCTCAGTATTTGCTTGAAAAAGGAGCTGATGTAAATAGAAAAAGTGTCAAAGGTGAGTTCAGTATCCATTTTCAGCAGTGACTTTTAAAGAACTGTTCAGAATGTTCATTTGGTTTGACAGTTCAAAGGTTCAAAGTCCAAGCTTAATTCTGCCCTTGCTAAATTTTCCATGCTGTATATAGCATTCCTTTAGGTTTCGTTTTTAAAGGGAATCGTTCCATAGATTATGCTCAGGTAGTGTTGTATGATGTGGTGATAATTCCTTGTTTTTTAAAAAGCAACATCATACAGAAACTGGATTATTTTGGATCATTGAATGGAAGAATTTAATCACTATTAATACAGGTAATACTACGAATACAAATTGCATTGGCATTTTTAGGCATCACCACCCATTATCTAAACATATCTATCTGCCTGCTAAGGAAATATCCCATATTAGTCTTATCCTTATAGTTGTAATAGAATTACAATAAAAGGACAGTGGCACTGTGTCACAACTGAAGCCTTTGTTCTTCTTGTTTACTATGTTGACACTTTTGGTCAGCAAAATTGTTCTGTGGATTATTCTCGTGATTGTAGTTTACTCGTCCGTTTGTTCTAGACATGACATTGCTTTTTTATTACAGTATTTTCTTTTCTTTCACATTTTCACTAGTTTGCTAGGAATGTTTATTGCTTCAGAGAGTCACAAAGACTACTCTGCCCATCCTGTCTCTGACTCACATGCATCTGACCTCCCTTACTACACTAATCTAAAAAACAGGACGTATAACTGAGAGACTGTGCAGTCCTACACAGGTCTACTCAGCAGTAAAACCCATTGAGTTCCATGGGGATTACTCTCAGGTAAATGAGTCCATAGCAGCCTTAGTCTTATGAAAATCCATGGGCTTTGGTTCAAGCATTTCCACTGTGTAATAACAAATATTATTTGTATGCTAAATAACTGAGAGCACACTGGTGTACCTACAAATCAGGAAATTTCTAGTTTTGACTTGTTTCTGTCGTGAACCCCCCTAGACAGTTGCTTAGATTCCTGGATGCAATATAGTGAGGGGATAAATCAAACTATGATTATGTAAATTCTTTGAACAGTCCACAGCTTTATATAAATACTAAGTGTTATTATTATTGACCAGCTGGATCTTGTTTTGTGACTTTCTGGTGTTGTCTTTCTTCACTCTGCTTAATGACTCATAATTGAAACACAAGTTCTGCCCTTATAGCAATGTGAAAGGAATTCTATTTTTATAAGCAGAAGAAGCATACTGCTGTCACTGACACTCGGTAGCAGAACTTTACCCCTTTCTGTTATTTTAATTTCTCAGTATTATTTTAGTACATTAACTAAAAGAACTGTGTCATGGTCATGGGTTCTTTCTATTAGTAAAGTGTCTAGATAATCGAAGCTATGCCAGGTGAGAACCCACAGAAACTTTTATGGATGTCCTTTCCTAAACATTGGAGAGTGACATTGCTGGTTTATTGGCAAATGAAGCTTACAGAGTTTATCCTTGATGATTCTTTTTTTCCCCAATTGGTGGAATAAGAGTTTTGGCCTAGAGATTAAAAAAGAAAATTCACCAGAAGTTGTGACTTCATCTATTTTTCTTCGTCATAGGTTCACATAAGATTAATTTTATTGAAAATAAAATCTTAATTTTATTATAATTATTAATGGGAAAAGTAATTATCTCAATTCCCACATCAATATATTCAGAGGGTAAACGGGGGAATAATTTTTTGTAGCGACCAATTTAACGTGACTGCCAGTTTTGGACTTTGAATAGTATTTTGTGCACCTCTGTACTGTGAGCTCTGAAGTTTCAAAATAACACAGGAAGTAAATATTTCAGAGTTTTTGTTTTCATGCAGTATATATGCAGATTGATTATAGGTGTCTTAAATGATCTCGATTTCACCTTTAAAAAGGTAGTCTTATAGTTCAGAAAGCAGTGGGTGGTCTCCAGTTAACTCATTCTGTCAGTGAAAGAATTTTCACTTGTGCAATGGAACTTCTCCCTTCTCTCATCCTTCCATGTCCCCCTTACTGTTCTGGGTTTCCCCCCAACCCTCTGGAACCGATGTAGGGAGGATATTAGGTGGGTGCAGGGAGAGGAGACGGGAAGTTCTGTTGTGCTAGTGGAAATCTCTGTGCTGATGGAACAAGGTAGTTAGATACCATTTGTAGTCCTTTTTTATATAATGCATAATGGGTCAGTTACATGATGCTTTTTGTTTCAAAACATGCATAAATGTAGGTTGGGGCAGTAAGGCCTGTCTTGCCAGCTGGGGAGCACTCTGGTTTCTGATTTCTAAAGGTACTTCGAAGCAGCTCACAAATGTAGATAAAATACACATTTCTTCCTTAACTGTGCTATTCTATAAAATGTATAGAATAGCACACTTAATGAACAAAGCAAGCTCAGAAATAAGCTCAGTTGAATCCTAACCCCTGGCTAGCAGTGGCAAGATTTGCTGGAGCTATTCAGCTAGCCACTGCAACCACAGTCCTGCTGCTTTTGCTTGTCAGGGTGGGAGAGGGCAGGAAAAATGCCCCTTCGCTGTGCCAGCTACCAGGATCATACCCATCTGCCATCATGTGATGGCAGGATACCAGCTCTGATCTTGTGTCAACCCAGTCCATCCCTATAATGCCTCATTTTGGGGGTCTCCATTGTAGTAGTGATAATGCCAGTGCTAGCTTCCGTCTTCCTGCTATTTGGGTGGGCATATTGAACTGCAGCTCTGCCAGTGGCAAAACTCCCCTGCTGGTGCAGGCTAGTGGAGCCAGGCAGAGCTGGATGGAGTGACACCTTTGCTGCATCTACACTCGCTCCCATCATGGCCATTTGGGCATTTGAATTGCTCTGTTACTCTTAGACAAGTGTGGGCAGGAGTGCAACCAAAGTCTCCCTGCTGCAAATAGCAGTAGCCTGGAGACTTTAACAGGGTTGGAGAAACAGGCAGCCTGCCAAATGTTGCTGAGGCTGATGGGAGTTGAAGTCCAACGGTGTCTGGAGAGCCATGCTTTTTAGACAAATCTACCAAAGGGTAATTAGCTGTTCTGAACCTATCAGTTTTATTCAGTTCCTGAGAAGCACTTTCTTCCACCATATGTCCTCCACAGTGGTGATAGTAAGAGCAGTTTCTGTCTCGGGTTTCTATTTCTGGCTCTTTTCTCTAAATCCTTAGAAGATTGTGCTGGCAGTATGTGGAGGAGCCAGCTTGTTTATTATGTTGTTGTTGAGCTTGATCCTGCCTTTTGAAAACTCCTAGGTTTGTGTGGAACAATTTATGTGCCTATAGTATAGTTGTAGTACAGTGTGGTGGTGTGTGTGTATTACATGAAAAGATATTTAAGATATTAGTTATTTGGCAAGGAACCTAAAATGTGTGTGAGGAAGCCTGTCCAGCGTATTCTAGAGCCAGACAGAAGAACCATGTGAATCCCTTCTTTGTTAGTCATACTGTTGTGCTTATATAAACCTATCACATTTTTGTGATCTATGATTATCACTTCGGAGTCTATCCATGGCAGCATTGTCACTTGGAGAAATATTAAGCTGCATAGATTTAGAGAGATTTTATTTAGGAATCTTTTAAACGTTATTCAAGGACTAGGAAAATGTTATACTTCTTCCCTAGTGGATACTTTTAGGAAGAAGGCAAACATGTTAGGTTAAATATGAAATTTACAGGAAGCTAAGCATTTCAGATGATATAGTTTCATTGTACGGATAAGGAAGTTGAGTGAAAACTAAAATATATGCATCACAATCCTATGCAGATTTGCACATAAGTACTTGCCCCAGAGTCGGCCACAACTGGACCTAATGGTCAGGGGTCACTTTACCTTTACCTTTTACTTGCCCCTCTGAATGTTCAGTATGTCTTACTAGCAGCTGTTACCTCAGGTTGCAGTCATACGCTCAAGTGGAAGGGTAGTCTTTCAATAAGGTTATGAGTTACCGTATATACTCAAGTATATGCCAATTTTTTCAGCACATGTTTTATGCTGAAAAAGCCCCCCATGGCTTATACTCGAGCGAGGCGGCCGGCCCAAAAGGAGCCCTTTCTCACCGCTGGTCCCGCCCCCGCTTCTCGCAAGGGCAGGCACAGGAGCCGTGGTTGGGAGAGGCCCTGCGCTGCGCTGTGCTTCTCCCAGCCGCGGCTCCTATGCCTGCTCTTGTGAGCGGCAGAGGCGATGGCAGAGGGATGAGCGGCTTGAAAGGAGCCCTTTCGGGCTGCTCCTTCCTCCTCCTCCGCCTTTGCCACTGTCGGCAGCGGCGGAGGAGGAATGAGCAGCCCGAAAGCAGCCCTTTTGGGCTGCTTGTTCTTCTTCCGCCACTGCCACCACCACCAGGTTTGGGGTTTGGTGAACCAGCTTATACTCAAGTCAATAAGTTTTCCCAGTTTTTTGTGCTAAAATTAGGTGCCTCAGCTTATATTCGGGTCAGCTTATACTCGAGTATATACGGTAATTATTTAAGGGTGAAATCCAGTTTTCCACCTAACTCTTGGGATGGGTTTTGATCCAGCAGAGGTATCTGTGAATGTCAAAAGGGGGAAGCATTTTTCTCCCAATTCTCTTTTCTGATGAAGTCCCTCACACCACTTTTCATAGTGTTCTAAAAGGTTCCCTGATCCTCTAGAACAGATTTGGGCAGGCATTAGAAGGTGAATTAGAGAAAATCTCATCCCCTCCTCTAATGTTAGCAGATGCCTGCGCTAGAGCAAAAGCTGCCCTGCATGTGAGAGGGCAGCATTCAATGCATCTTATTCTAAATAACTAAACAATGAAATGTGGTGGTTCTGACAGGACATGATTAATCCATGTATTATGGCTTTCAGAAAGTTAAAAATAAAATTGGCACATTGTCTGTGATTCAAAGCTTAACAGATTTATAGCCAGTAGCAATATACTAGGGAAGATGACTACACTCTTGTAGACATTTGAGTTGTACTCTGTCCATGATTGTACACTGGGTTACTTTACCAACCTGTTAAAGAGTTAAGATTTTGGTGAGCTGGCCTAGTATCTTAAACTATGTGGCTAGTGAGCAAACAAATTCAATTCCTGTGAAATGGTGAACTATTGGAGAGAAGCTGAATCTGATTCTTCAGTGAAATACTGGCTGTGTTTTATCAACAGTAAGTTCCTTCCCCAAGTTGGGACGTAGGGACATGATCCCAACACAGTGCTTCTGTGCTGCATTATTACCCAGACATGTATAAGCTGGATATTGAGTAGTATTGGCATCAGTGAGCCATGTGCATATGAATTGGTGTAAGTGGAACAAATGTCAGTAATAATTAGGTATTTCAATTTCAGCTTTTTACATCCTTTTCTTAAGCTATCATGCTTTGTGCTTCCTATCTTTAAATACCTTCTTGGTTGCCTTCCAAGTTATCTCTCCCTGCCTGTCCACAAAGATCTGTCTCAGGGCCCCATGTGAACAATTTCTTGGACATAATGTCTTTTCATTTTCCTCATAGCAGCATTCTTTTTTGAAAACTCTCCCGTTAATTTGTCTTCACAGTAATACAGTAGTGATGGGGTGGGACAAATAAGCAACCAATTTCCTGTTTGTGGGTTTTTTGCTATATACATAAACAGAGCTTTATTACAGAAACATTTTGTAAGACATGTTCAGAAGGCTCTCTACTAAGAAATTTACCCAGTATAAGTGGAGGGAAGCAGAGAAGTATTAGAGTACAGTGAATCAGGCTGCAAGCTTTCACACACATTGTGGTATAAATCCAATTAAAGAAAGTCAGACTTCTTTCTAAATAAGCATGCATAGAATTGTGCAGCATATCTCTGTGTTGTTCATTTGCAAGGGAGTACCTGAACCTATTTTTTCCTTGGCCAAGCTGGCATATCTGTTCCATCTTGCTATTTCAAGCAGCAAACCAGTACAGCCACTCATAATAGGAATATACTTGCAGTTGAACTATAACTTTTTCAAAGGCAATCTTTAAATTTATTAGAAATAATTAAACAAACATCAGCTGTAGTTTCAGTTGCCTAATTGGATGCAGATTTACTCCCCAAATTGGGATTTGAGACATCACGCTGGAACAGATACATACAAACAAATATATTTGTAAAATGGTGAGGTAACTGATCATGTCAAATGGTGGGATGGAATACTTTCTGTTGCAGGATCTGCTTACTTGTAAATGCTCCAATCTGCCCCTTGATACAACAGAGGAATTTATTTATTTTTATAATTATTTTACAGTTCTAGATTATGTGCTGACTGCAACCCCACAAGCAGCAATCAGACTCTGCATTGATTGTGAAACTTATTGGAGAATTCTTCTTTCTCCTATTCACATTTTTCTAAAGTGGAGAGGGGATTTCTACAGAACTTGGAAACAGTCACTGCTATGACCTCAGAGATTTTGATGCTCCGGAAGGGCCTTGAAACTGAGTGACGTAATAAAGTTAGGCTTGTGTAGAGCAGAATATTATAGATAATTGTTTGAACTACGCGGGTGGCGCTGTGGTCTAAACCACTGAGCCTAGGACCTGCCGATCAGAAGGTCGGCGGTTCGAATCCCCACGATGGGGTGAGCTCCCGTTGTTTGGTCCCAGCTCCTGCCAACCTAGCAGTTCAAAAGCACGTCAAGTGCAAGTAGATAAATAGGTACCGCTCCGGCTCCCTCAGCCTATAGAGCAAGATGAGCGCCACAACCCCAGAGTTGTCCGCTTCAGGTTACAGCCTCCTATAACCCAGAAATAGTACCTCGGGTTAAGAACTTTCCTTCAGGATGAGAACAGAAATCGCGCAGTGGCGGCAGTGGGAGGCCCCTTTAGCTAAAGTGGTACCTCAGGTTAAGAACAGTTTCAGGTTAAGAAAAGACCTCCAGAACGAATTAAGTTCTTAACCCGAGGTACCACTGTAATATGTATTGGGAAAACATGGGGAAAATTTTAGCTCCAGCAGAACAGCTGCAGTGGGATGTTCTGGCAAAAAGCTGTAAGCTTTGGGTTGGCAAATATAAAAGCCCACATATTCAAGGCTGATTGTTTTTCTTAAATTCAAACAGGAAGATTATTAAGTGACTAATAAGGAGTGTTACTTTTCTTACATGTTCATGACTTAGATTAAAATGCCGCCTTGGTCGATTATTTGTCCACTGCTTATGATGTGTAATTTTATCATTATTTTAATTAGTAATATACTAGATAATTTGAATTCTGTACAGCCATAATTCCTTCATTGTTTCTCTGAAAATGTGTCATAGCATACATGATTTTTTTGCTTTCTTTTTTCCATAGGAAACACAGCATTGCATGATTGTGCAGAATCTGGTAGCCTGGAAATAATGAAGATGCTTCTCAAATATTGTGCAAAGATGGAAAAAGATGGTTATGGAATGACTCCCCTTCTGTCTGCTAGCGTTACAGGTCACACAAACATAGTTGACTTTTTGACCCAACATGTTGAAACTAGCAAAGTAGAACGTATAAATGCACTGGAACTCCTGGGAGCCACCTTTGTGGATAAAAAGAGAGATTTGCTCGGTGCTTTGAAATACTGGAAAAGAGCTATGGATATGAGATACAGTGATAGGACTAACATACTGAGCAAACCTGTGCCTCAAACGTTAATAATGGCCTACGATTATGCCAAGGAGGTGAACAGTGCCGAAGAGCTAGAAAACCTTATTGCAGACCCTGATGAGATGAGAATGCAGGCCTTGTTAATTAGAGAACGTATTCTTGGCCCATCTCACCCAGATACGTCCTACTATATTCGGTACAGAGGTGCTGTCTATGCAGACTCTGGAAACTTCAAACGATGCATCAATCTGTGGAAGTACGCTTTGGACATGCAGCAGAGCAATTTGGACCCCCTGAGCCCTATGACTGCGAGTAGTCTGCTTTCGTTTGCTGAACTCTTCTCCTTCATGCTTCAAGACAGAGCAAAAGGCCTGCTGGGCACAACAGTTACATTTGACGATCTCATGGGTATACTGTGCAAAAGTGTCCTCGAAATAGAACGTGCCATCAAGCAAACTCAATGTCCGCCTGACCAAATACAGCTCAACAAAGCCCTTTCCATCATCTTGCATTTAATTTGCTTGCTGGAGAAAGTTCCTTGTAGTCCCGAGCAAGATCATTTCAAGAAACAAACTATATATCGATTTCTTAAACTACATCCTAGAGGAAAGAATAACTTCAGCCCACTCCACCTTGCTGTTGACAAGAACACCACATGTGTGGGGCGCTACCCAGTTTGTAAATTTCCTTCTTTGCAAGTCACTGCTATACTAGTGGAATGTGGCGCTGATGTAAATGCTAGAGACTCTGATGACAACAGCCCTTTGCACATATCTGCACTGAACAACCATCCTGACATCATGAATCTTCTTATCAAGTCAGGATCACATTTTGATGCAACAAACTTGCATAAACAAACTGCTATTGACTTGCTGGATGAGAAGGAAATGGCAAAGAACTTGATCCAGCCCATCAACCATACTACACTGCAGTGTCTTGCTGCCCGTGTAATTGTGAATTATTGCATAGGTTACCAAGGGCACATCCCAGAAAAACTTGAGAACTTTGTTTTGCTCCATAGATGACAGTCTGACAATAGGCCCTTGGTACTGTGGGAGCACGAGTTAGTAACATCAATTGTTGCTTTCTCAAGCACTGTTGTGATATGCCAGCGATACACCATCATTCATTCAGCTTGGTCCATCCTGCTCATTGGCTAAAGCATTATTAGAATCAGATCTGCAGAATTGGTTGCCCAATATTTAAAACAAACATACCATATAATATATTTTGTGGATTATTTAGAAATGTAATGCTATATTCGGACTCACTAAAATTTGTCTGCCAAAGGCTTGTCTACTCTGGTTTAGTTTGCCTGTTGGTTGTTTGGGACTGAACTGAATAATTTTCGTGGTGTTGTCTTATTCTTACTGGTGTGTGGATTTTATATAGTTGGGAAGTCATCTTTTTGTTCTTGCTTGAGCATTTCTATTCTTTTTTCTAATGGGTTCATTGCTGAACTATACAAGTTGTATGGACTTGTTAACATTTGCAATTACCATAAGTGCTTTTAACCTCTCTATGCACTGGCTTGAACATGACTGTTTGTGTGTTGGCATATTTCTATGCAGCAGTTGGCCATTGTCAGTTCTGACACTGTTTTCTTGCAGTTTGTTAGAGAACTCTTTGAAAATATACCCTTTACAGTTTGACATTTCTTGAAGACATCCGTCAGCTGTCTAAACTCATGTGACTTTTTGCCCCCAGCTTTTTCTGCAGTTGCTTTCCATTTATTTTTCTAGAGTTGCGTGCTGAATTTGGGAGTAAAATGTGTTCTTGTTGGCAATCCCACTTTTAAATTAAGTCTGAAAGTCATATAAATATGTCTTGCTGCGAGGAGAGAAAGGAAAGGAACTGCCATATTCTCCTCTACACTAGTGTCTTGCTTGAGCTGATTGTGTGACTAGGCATAGAGAGTTTTTTTTTTCAAATTTAACCTGAAACTTAATCATACAACTCAGTGAGTACTAGATCAAACATAGTCTGAAATTACAACTCAAGATTCTTAAGTACAAAAGAAACTAAAGCATGTTGGCATGATGCTTGTCGGTCCAGATCTAGCCATCAACTAGTATAATTAACTATATGGTTGTAATCAGTAGCCTCTGCAGGGGCTTCGGAAGTTTAGTAGTATCCCCTTCATTTTCAAATAACTCTTACAGATAATTTGCATGCATTTTATTCTCTAATACCTTTCAGCCATATTTATGGAAAACATCAGAGGCCATGTTGAGTACATAGTCTCGACTGAAAGCTATCTATTTTTATAATACTTGCACAACAGCTTAGCTATTGCAGCAGAAAGGGCTTTTTAGACTTGATAAGGAAACCATAAGTGAAGACTACAAATGAGATTAAGATTCAGGTAATTAATATAATTCAGCACTTTATTGTTGATTCATAATGAAACTTATTATGGCATATTAGACCTGCAAATGTCTTAAAATAAAATGGTTCTCAAGAAAAAAAAAATCCCACCTCATTTTTCTTCAATGGAATACAGTGTATTTGACATTTCCACAATCTAACATAGTGAGTGTTTTCCAGTACTACTATACCTGGTGCTTTTTCAGATCACAAAAAAACAACAACACATAGGTTACTGTGAATCTGTAGCAGTTGACAGTGCAGGAAAAATCAGAACCAAATCAATGCATCAAGGCTGGCATGAATCTGGAATTCCTATTTTAATTCCAACATTACTACCCTCAGTTGATTGATCACATTTGGTTGGCACATCCTCACAGTACATATTAACTAGTACTCACACTGACTTTTTAAAATCATCACTTTATTGGCCTATTCAAAAATAATGCTAAACCATGGGTTAGCATTTTGAGAACAAACTCTGTCTTTGTGCTTTCTCTTTTTCTTCTCCTTAGTGTTTGTGGGAAGAAGACTGGAAACCTCCAGTTTCATTTGGGAATAAATCACAATATCAGGAAACTGGTTTATTTATTCTAACTAGTTAGTTCAAAGGAACCAGGATTAAACAATAGTTTAACATTCTCATTTGTTAAATCAGTTAACCACTTCCCAAACAAACCAGTCAGAATTAGCCATTTCCCAATTCAGGATGCTATGGGAATATGTGATGCATTAAAACAAGGTAGAAGCTTGCTTTCTCCTTTTTTCACATGCAAAGGAGGAGGAGAGTGGAGAGAAAGGGATGCAAGTCCAAAGTTCACTGTGGTTCATTCTTGCAATGCTAAATCGTGTTTTAGTGTTGCTTTTGAAGTGGGCCGTTGCCTAGTCTAGAGTGTATATGACAAAAATTAATTTGTTCTATCACACCTAGAAAAGAATGAGAAACTTGCATTGCTATTTGTTTAATTTTCAGAACGGGCAAGAAATGCAAGTTATTTTTTTGTTCATGGGCACATCTGGGTCACTATCAAAAGCAAATCGTATGGGGAAATTGGGTTCACAAGTATAAAGGAGAACATTTAATTTAACTAATTACTTTTACCCTGGTTGAAACACATTCCTATTTCTGGATTCACAGCCTGAGCAGTTTGGGGGTGGGGAAGTCAGATTTTTCATAATCTTCATTGCTTGCCTGCAAATAGACAATACTAATTCATATACTAGAAGGGCAAAACTTAACCTACTTTAGCCTAAAAATAGGACATGAGATGAACAGGGAGACTGTAGAACACTGTGTCCTCAAAAATGTTTTATTTTCCTTTGTAACTTTACTCAGGCAATACTAAGCGTTTGGAAATGGGGATATCTCTTGACTTATTGGCTATACTTTGAAAAATATATTCTGCTGATAAGTTAAAGAATTGGTATTCTGTAAAACTTTTAAGAAACCTTAGTTAATGGTGACTGAAGACTCCTTATATTTGCCTTCTTGCTGAATATGGCATCTCCGTACTGAACAACCCTACTTCATTTTTAAAAATACAATTTATTTACACTCTTGCTACTTCATTTTTAAAAACAATACAATTAATTTACACCCTACACCTACAGTCCAAGACTCATGAAGACAAAGTCTGGTTCTCTTCTTGTTTTCATGTTAATTTTCTAAGTCTTTAAACTACTGAAATTAATTTGCTAAATGTTCAAACTAATGCAGCTTTAGAAGCATAGTAAATTAGAAACTACCAGATAGCCATCTTTTTGTGTATACTAAAAAGTGGCTTCCAACAGGAATTAACCACCACTTGGAATACTGATGATAGCTGTTCCTGTAGTCCTGGAAATTATTACTTAGTCTAAGGATTATAAGCCATTCAAGAAGATGTGTTTTAGCATGGGTTGCAGGAATATCTACTTGCCAGCATTAGGGAAATGAAGCCCTTTAAGATATTCTGACCGATCATTTCTCTTCAACATAGTTTCCCCTAAAAACATCTAGTTTCTTCTTACTGAATTGCTGTCATGCCTTATTTGAGAACCTCACATAACTTTCAGATAAACCATTTCTTTATTTGGAAAGAGGCAGAAATGGGTACCATCAGTATGGCTCATCCTGATTCTTGACCAAGTTTATCCCATTTATTGCTTTTATGTATTTCCCTTTTTATTTATGAATGCTTGTAATTTTTGGCACTAGCACAACAGTTCCTTTGTTAACATGAGCTTGGTTGCCAGAGAGGGCTCCAAATAGTGTCTTCTTCCAATGTTGTACTGAGCAATTAAGAAAGGGAAGAGCAGCCATACCTCGTACTAGCTAAATATCCCACACAGTGATAATGTGCATTCAGTTAGTATTGTTTGAGGGCAGAGAACCAGGGAGTAAGACTGTTACATTTTGGAGATAAAGTTTTTGAAGTAGTAGCCAGATTTTATATGCCAAAGCCACTGATTGCTCTGCTCTGCTAATCTGTATGGAATCTGATGATGAGTCAATATTTTGAAGATAATAGCAATAAATTTATATTTACATTAAAAAAATACTAGTTTGTAGCCCTCAGAATTGCAGGGGGAAAAGGCGGGGGGGGGAGATCAGTCTACTTAGAAGAAATACATGGAAAATCCTTTAGTTGCTGTGGATTTTTGGACTCCTTTGGGTACTGATTCCTGTATTTTGGTGGATTTGTGGTACACAACTGAACTTAACCATGCTAAGCTCCAAGTAGGCAAGTCTAGGCAGTCCTGAAAGAGGCTAGAGGTATAAGCTATTGACTTCCCTTGTAATGACATAATCCTGATTAGTTTTAGCTTAGCAAAACAAGTTTGGCTGTTGACTCTTCCTTTCTTTATTGCCCATTAGTGTCAACTAAAAGCTTTAAACCATTGTTTTCCTTGAGTTTTTCAGCAGCATATTCTGTTTCTCCTATGCAATCCTGTCATTTGATCTGTCCCTCTTTTCTTCCTTGTATGTTTACTGTCATTCTCCCAGTCTCTTATGTGGTACACCTCAGTTTTCTCATCCTTCCTCATGAGCCAAAATTGAGATGGGGCACCTGAACCCATTAAGAAGCAGGAGAACTTTCCTGAAAAGTATAAGATCACTGCTTCATAGTATAATGTATTTATTTTTTTCTTCCTTCAGTCTTGCCAAGTTGTGCCTATGCTAAGCCTGTCAAAAATAGAGGAACGCACCTGCTAAGAAAATACTTTATTATGCCTTTTTTCCTTCTGATTGGATGTGACTTTAATACATTAAAAAAAACAACAAGATGAAAGATCTTGTTTCTTCAGTTCCTTATCAGTTAATCACTGCTAACCTTGCACAAGTCTTTCAATGTGTTGTTGTGGTTAACATATCAGACTTTAATAAGTTGATGTATGTAAACGAAGAGCTCAGGGCTGTGTGTAAGTGCACTGAAATTGAAATTTTGCACTAAGAAAAGACTGTGAATAAATGCAATAATTCTGCTTCTGCAAACAATTTGTGAGAGACAAGAAATAATATAAATCATTGACATTTCTCTGAACTCTGTTTTCCAGCTGTCTCTACAGCTTAAAGAACTGGAAGCTTTTATTTTCAAATGAAAGCTGAGATTCCTGAGGTGCTGCACATGGCACGCTCAGAGCTTGCTATCCTGCACATAGCTTGATCACAGATGCATAGATCACATAAGTGTTCCTGTAGGAACTTGGGCTTATGGCAACACCTCTAACAATATTGCTGACATTTGTGGAATGTTACAATACAACATAGATATTGAAAGAATAATAATGGCATGTGAAAGAAACATTGAAATTGCTGGACCTACAGGGGAGATTCTGTTCCTGTCTACACACAATGCAAATCTTGAGGGTTTTGTTGTATAGGCATTTTGCTAGTATAAACACAACACTGGGGTATATCACATTTGTGATAGACTTTTTTTAAAAAAAAAATCCAGGTTGCTTCTCTTCTCCATAAAGGTGAGAAACTGATTAACACAAAATTTTGCTTTTCTTTTTTCTTTCTTTTTAATAATAAAAAAACCACCTTGGTGTTTATTAGGATGGATTTCCCCTGGTGGTATGGCATTTTCTGGGATGCTGAGATAGAAGTATAAACTGTAAAGAATAGCTTCGTACCAGCATGTAGAAAACCTTTGAACAGAAATTAGCTGAAGTTCATAAAGTGGAGTGGTACCTCGGGATAAGAACTTAATTCTTTCCGGAGGTCTGTTCTTAACCTGAAACTGTTCTTAACCTGAGGTACCACTTTAGCTAATGGGGCCTCCCGCTGCCACCGCGGCGCGATTTCTGTTCTCATCCTGAAGCAAAGTTCTTAACCTGAGGTACTATTTCTGGGTTAGCAGAGTCTGTAACCTGAAGTGTCTGTAACCCAAGATACCACTGTAGTAGAGAACAGTATGCTGCCTATGTCTCAAAAGTAATGAAACACAGCCATGAAGGTGATTTCTCATGTCCAAGCAAGCTGTCTACCAATACCAGCTCAGTCCAATCTAGTTTTGTTCTTTCCGCTTTCCTGAGCAGCAGGATGTTCCAGGGCAGCTTTAAGCGACCATTTCTTATGAGGAGGCAGTGCTTATGGTTTTTATTTTAAATATGCACAGAGAAAATGTGGTGCTGTGCTAATTCACAAGAAGAATCATTCCCCCATGCCAACTGTGTTCAGCATGGTTTATCTGTTGAAATTTTAAAACTCCCTCTTCCTTCACCCCTCTTCACCTTAGCTATACAGTACCTAAATCTGTTCCAGATGTTCAGGCAGTGACAACCTTCAGAGCGGTGTGTTAACAGTTTTTTGGGGGGTGTTAAGCAGGGATGGGCCCATCCCTCTCAAAAGTTTGTTGACAAAAGTAGAACAATGTTACGAGGTACGTAAGATGTAGTAAAAAGGAAAGTCAATTCAGATTTTAAAATAAATAATGTATACAACAATTCTAAATATGGGGATTGTGGGATGGGTCAGCCTGCATTGCTTCAGGTGTGCACGTAAAAAAAAAGCTGTATTTCTTTCCTCCACCACCCTCCTCTCACAGTGCAAAGTTATTACCACATGAATGTTGGCAGAAAATAGGTTGCACTGGGGTCACTCTTCATTGATGCAGTATGCAGCTGGAGATATAAAGAGAGTGCCTTTGCCTGTCTTTCTGAAGCTAGTCTGCATGACTTTTTCTTTTCTTTTTTCTTTTGATGCAAAGTGCTCTGAATGTATTAAAAATTATCTGTCTGGCGACTGAGTTCTGAGCACCTATTATCCTTAAATTACGAACAGTATGTTGAAAGAGCTGTGTGCCTACTTCATTGCTCAAATTAATCTCGAGGTTTTTATTGGATGAGTCACCACACGAGAATTCCTCACCCTTGAATTTTCTAATTAATGAGATTGCTCAGATCTACCTTGTTTCTCTCAGACTTCCCTCGGTCTTCTGAAAATCCCTAGCACCGATTCCTGAGTTATGGGTTCATTTCAACTTTTCTCTCACTTGTCTGATTTCCCAAGTTTTGACCTTGATGTATGGAGGTGTTGTAGACAAGATTTAGCCTATTACACAAAGTATATGTAAAAGAACATCACAATTTGACTATGGTTCCTCCCTCTATTATATTTGTAATAAGCTGAGATCACCTATGTGGGAATTGGGTCTGTTCCCTTAAAAAACCTCTATAATGTAGCATTTTTTATCCTGCTTTTCCTTCAGAGCATGTAGGCCTAAGTCCAATACAGAGCTGGACTTAGTGGTTGTAAGCATGCCTAAGTCTGTGTGAGATGTAGACCCCAGTCTTTACAGAAAGCTTCTAATATATGTTCTCTCAAGACACTGACCATATTATGGGAAGCCTAGTTTTCTATACTGAGGTTCATTTTTGGGGCCAGCTCTTCTAGGGAGATGGCTAATCTGAGGCCCTCTTGCTGTTATAGGACTCGCAACTCCCATCAGCCCTGACCAATATGGCTGCTGGTCAGGGAGTTACAGTGGTACCTCGGGTTAAGTACTTAATTCGTTCCGGAGGTCTGTACTTAACCTGAAACTGTTCTTAACCTGAAGCACCACTTTAGCTAATGGGGCCTCCTGCTGCTGCCGTGCCGCCGGAGCCCAATTTCTGTTCTTATCCTGAATCAAAGTTCTTAACCTGAAGCACTATTTCTGGGTTAGCGGAGTGTGTAACCTGAAGCGTATGTAACCTGAAGTGTATGTAACCCGAGGTACCACTGTTTAGTCCAGCAGCATATAGCATGTCATAGATTAGCCACCCTTGCCCTAGGCCAGGGGTCTGCAACCTTTAAGACAAAAAGAGCCACTTGGACCCGTTTCCGAAGAAACAAAACTGGGAGCCGCAAAACCATTGCGACATTTAAAACAAATATATCTCCGGAGCCACGATCTGACAGTGGGAAGGTGACGTCGGGACGGTGTGTGACTAACGCACGCACCGCCCCCATGCGACGTCACAGCCAGTACAGCGCCCTTCACAGTGGGGAGTGTCGGGACGCACAATGCGCCTCCTCCCCTCGCTAGTATCTGCCCCGGAGCCGCGGCAAAGGTGTAAAAGAGCCATATACGGCCCCGGAGCCGCGGGTTGCAGACCCCTGCCCTAGGCCTTGAAACTAGGCCTCCTCAAAACTCTCCTTTTCTTAAAACAGCTGGCACAAGCCCCTACTCCCCAGGGGGAGAACTTCAGTGAAATTCTCAAGGATCAGGTGCAACATTTTTGTCCCTTTACTTTTGAGATGGCCGAGGTCTTCTCTTTCTTTCCATTTTACAAATCTGGTAAAATCAGCATTGTACAGCTTTCCCAGATGCCGGCGCTGCAATTAAATCCCAGGGAAGAGACATGGTGTTTTTTTCCAGAGCAAGAAGAATGAGCAGCTCCGAGTGGCTGCTAAGTGCTGGCGAAATGTTGACTGGAATGAAAAATGCACACCCTTCCCCAGCCGCCTCCTTGCAGCACTAAGGTAAGTTCAAGATCACTCACCTGAAATTCTAAAGAAAGTCTCAAGTTCCCTGAGAATGAAGCAGAGAAATGAGAGCCTCTTTTGCAGAGAAAGAAAGATTTCGAGGAACTGAACACACAGATTTGGTTAAGCACTACATGTAACCGAAATAACGTGTGATTTTCCTGTTTACCCATGTTTTTCCTTCCCTTCTGTAGTTTCTAATTGCAGGTTGTAATCCTCCCAGCAAGGGACCTACCCTCTTGTGTTATAGACATCGACGGCACTATATTAATTATAATAATACTGGCAAACGGGTAGCATGTGCTACCACCATGCATAAGAAATCTTACAATTGCCTGAATGTGTGTGTGTGGGGGGGTGTTGTTGTTGTTGTTTGCACACTTCTTTATGGGGATATTTAAAAACAAACACACAAAAAACCCAGGGTGCTATCTGTGCACATGCCCTGTCGGCAATTAATTGACATAAGAACATCAACCAATGAGAGGGCAGAGATAAATACAAAAGGTATGAACAGGATAAGCCTGAAATTGCTCCTCATATGCAAATTCAAATACACAGGAGTGTAGTCTAATTTTAATATAGGGAAAGTAGATTAAGAGCTAAAAATGCTCTTTTTGGATAAGCCCCGTGTTTTCCAATAGTGTCGGGAACATGAGCAGTTTGCAGGAATCCAGCATTGCAGGAATGCTGGTTTATTATTAAATGCATTTTACAGCATTAAAACAATGTGATAGGTGTACAGCACAAAAAAATCAACAGTTATTTCAATACAATGCCCAATAAAAGCAGCTGTGTCAAACTATTCATAAGTTATAGAAGTCACAGTCCCCATATTGTTGCTGGTAAGTTCAGTATAGCTCCTGCTGCAATCTCTTCAGACAGCTGGTCTTGTGGGGGGGGGGGCGACACCTCTCCCCACAGGCCCAGAGCACTTCTCCCTTTGGCCTTATGTAACAGAGTTAAGTACAAGTGTCACATATCAGACTGGGCTTTGCTCCCAAATCCATATAAGGATCTCTCACTTAGGGGGTTTCCTGTACCAATTCCTTCGCCAGCTGCCTCCTGCTGCCTTGTGAATATTTCAGCTGTGTTCCTAAGCAGTATTATCACTATTTGAGTAGGCCGGCTACTTTCCAGGATTTTTTAAAATGCCTGCAGTGCCCTTATTTTGCATATATTCTGAGTTGCCCAGTAAGGCTTGAGATGGTGCTACTGTTGCCCTCATATCCTGCTGGGCCACCGATTCCCCACACACTCTAACCATGGGACCTTGTGTATATGCAGTGCTTCTTTTCAGCCGGAACCGAGTCCCGGCCCCTCTGTGGTGCGTTCCGGCTTCTCTTTAGCATTGCGTTCCTTCCTTGGGGTTGCGCGGCTGGTGGCATGGCGCTGGTAGCTGTGTGCTGCGGGTGGCACAGTACCCTTGGTTGTGTGTCAGAGGTGGCAAACAGAACAGCGACTGGGGCAGCACGGCAATCGGCGTGGCAGAGTCAGAGGACGGCGGTGTAAGGCGTTGGGGTTATGTTGCTGCATTGATGCGCCTAAAGCAGCTGTGGGAGGTTGCTG